CGTAGGTTTGAGACCAGTCTGGGCAACCTAGCGAGACCTTGTCTCTACAACAAATCAAAAAAAATTAGCTGGGCATGGTGGTGCACGCCTGTAGTTCCAGCTACTTGGAAGGCTGAGACAGAAGGATCGCCTAAGCCCAGAAGGTCAAGGCTGCGGTGGCTGGGAGCGTGCCACTGTCCTCCAGCCTGGGCAAGAGTGAGACTCCAACTCAAAAAAAAAAAATCACTATTTACTGAGCATACAAATAGAGAATATATGGAAATTAAACCCACTCTATATTTGAGGTTAAAGAGGATATTTCTCAGATAATGAAATTTAAGGGATATATTATTTCCCAATTCTTCTACACAAAACACACATGGGGGCCTCAAGACTGTAATCTATTACTTATAATAAGATGTCTGAATTCCTCTCTGGATATTACATCACTCTTCTTCCCTTCATAGCCCATCATCTCAGAAATATTGTTTAGAGCTACACTGTCCAACTTGGCAGCTATTTAAATTAGCAACTAAAAACTCAGTTTCTGAGTCACATAACCAATATTTCAGGTGCTTAACAGCTATATGTGGCTAATGGCCACTGTACTGGACAGGGACTGCCATCACTGCAGAAAGTTCAAGTGGCCAGCACTATTCCACCCTCTATAATAACCAAGGCTGGGTAAGGAGAACCTGAACTTAAATACAGCAGTGGATCTGGAAACTGGAAAAGGGAAAATGCACCCAACTTAGCATTTGTGATTTTAAAAAAACACTAAGCAATAAACCCTCAAATAAATAATCCTGTGAAAAAAGGCAGGGATCCTGATCAAGTGGTTTTTGTAGGCAATTTTTTTTTTCCAGGGCACCAGATGAAAAGCCCTTTCAACACTGTTTCTTTCCAGGATCTTCGGCTCCAGGCACACCAGAGCAGTAGTCAGCGTAGTTTCCTGCTGACTACTTGTCAGTAATTTTACAGTAGCCACATGCTAGCAACATTTCCAATTCCATTCTGGATCCTGGGCCCACCACTCCATGACTCCCCTAACTTCTATTGTGCTATCACCCAATGAACACTTTGCAGTATTTTGTCACAGCTGAGCACTCCCTCCTCCAGGAAACTCTCTGTTCTCTCAACCTTTGTGATACCACTTTTACAACAGACTCATGGTGTGCCTCCTTTTTTACTGCCAAGTACTTCTCAGTTTTCACTAACGGATATTTAAATTTAGGAGGTGCCCAAAAGACCTTTCTAGGTGCCCTTTTCCTCTCATTCTTTCCTACTAGACTGTTTCATATACTGCCCGTACACTGTCCACTTCTCAATTCTATCTCTAGTCTAGACCCTCCCCTTTGAACGTTTGACTCTTTTTGTAGAGACAGGGATTCGCCTGTTGCTTAGGCTGAAGAGCAGTGGCGCAATCACAGCTCACCACAGCATCAAACTCCTGGGATCAGTCGATCCTCTCGCCTCAGTCTCCCTCAGTAACTGGAATTAAGACAGAAGCCACTGCACCCAGCTCCGTTTGACTATCTCACAAGTATCTCAAACTCATTCCATCCAAAATTGAACTCATTATCTTCCCTTAATCCTTTTCCACTGTTGTCCACTTCAGTAAATGGTACCATTATCTACAAAGATGTTGCAATCAGACATCTAAAAGACGGTGATATTTTTTACTTCTTCAACTTCAATAGCTACTCAATTACCAAGTCCTACTGTATCTACTTCTTGTATCTCACATTAAATCCATTCACCTTTCTCAATTTCTACTGTCACTATCCTTAAGTCCAAAATATCATCTCTTTCAGGACTATCACAACAGCCTCTTCCCTGGCCCCTTCACACAGATAGTACTGACCTCTTCCCAGGGTGTGCTTTCATTTTTCCAGTGTCCTTATTAAACATAAATTTAAATGTATTATTCCATTACTCGAAAACAAAACAAAATTAAAGTCTAAACTGCTTCCTACGACTGGAAGGCTTAAGTAATCAAGCACCTTCCTACTTCCCCAGTCTTAATTCACAACTTTTCCAATGTTCCATTCCCAACCTATACCTCTGCCTTTTTTGTTTCCTTAAAGTCGCTTGCTGGCCAAGCGCGGTGGCTCAAGTCTGTAATCCCAGCACTTTGGGAGGCCAAGGTGAGGGGACTGCCTGAGCCCACGGAATCGAGAACAACCTGGGCAATTGGCGAGACCAATAAATCAAAAAATTAGCCAGCTACTTGGAAGGCTGAGGCAGAAGGATCACCTGAGCCCAGCAGGTTAACGCTGGGGTGGCCGTGAGTGTTCCACTGCACTCTAGACTGGGTGACAGAGTGAGATTCCAAGTCAAAAAAAAGAAAAAAATGTTGCTTGCTGACTCAAAGACTTTTTACATAACTGTTTTCTCTGCTTGGTAAGCAGTCTTATCCTCCTCTTTCACTAGCTCAGTGGCTCCCAAGTGTTTGCCTACCTACACTAAAATTACCCAAGAGCTTTTCCTTTTTAAAATTGAATCCTGGACTCTACGTAACAGTTATTGGTCAAATTTCTAGGAGTGGAATCTAGAAGTACATCATCTTCCTAAAGGCTCCCCAGATAACTCTGACATGCAACCAGGTCTCATGTACAAACTTATTTCCTCAGAGAAACCTATACACAAAATCTAGTTCCACTAAAAAGATTCTCATGATAACCTATATTTTTTTTCACAGCATGTATCATGATATTGAATTTTGTGTGAAATCATTTAATATCTACTTTCTCTCAATATAAGTTTTGCAATTTAACATTTTACTTAGAATGTTTGGTCACACTAGTTTTACCATAAGACAGTTTTACAGAAATAACAACAACAAGAAAAACCATACTCTAGCCATTACAGATTTTGCTAATGTGAGCAAGGAATATTTTCTCAAAGGCCATATCAAATAAATTACTTTTAAAGATGAGTAAGTTCAATATTTGTAGCACAGATCATCACTGTTTAAGAGCTTCACTAGTGATACACTTGAGTCTCAGTGCTCCAAGTAGGGCTGCCCTAAGGTAGGTCATTTCTTCATAAAACCAAGGATCCTGAGTATCATAAGCATTACTCACCTTCTGTAGTTTTTTAAAGGATGATGCTTTCATGTTTTCTGACAATTTAACTGAAAAATACTATGAATTTTATTAAGGAACAATTACGTAATTAAGACATAAGTCTTCTGAACTCATGTATAATTTCACAAACAACGTTAGACTACATGGACATAAACAGGAAAGGTAAGAAGTGAGTTTCCAAGAAGAAAAAAACCCATCCTTTCCAGTGACATCATCATATCCAAATTAAGCAACTTAATCCTGTGACACATATCCAAATGGCCATAATTTTCAGAACTTTCCAAAAACGAAGTCAACTTCCTAGTGTCTATCATTTCAGTATACACGAATGAATACATTTTCCCCTTTTGATCCTCCTTCGTGGTCCATCTGTAGCAATACTCTCTACTTTAATCAAGCAACAAATTTAATTTAGTTTTTACTTAATTGCTTCAAAAAATACAAATAATAGCCTTTGAATAAGATTACTAGGTCTTCCAATTAAAAAGGATACAAAATCTCTAAGTTGTCCAAATATCTCATCTACTTTTCCAATTTGTTCTTTGTTTTCTAAATAAACAGGAGCATTGAAATAGGGGACCTTATTTTCATCTGTGGTACACTTACAAACTATGTCGTCTTCACAGGGATGCAGGAACTCTCCTAATACTGAAATAAAACAAGAAAATATTAATATATAGAACTATTTCAAATGATACCAACTAACCTCTTCTGAAAGCTTTCTTCTTGGCTGCCTGGAACGTCACCATACCTATTTTCCTCTAAGGCATAAGAGCACAATCGTTAAGAGTGTGGACTCCTGGGATGGTATACAAACTCCCCAACACACCAGCTGATCTGAAGGAAGCTATTCACCCTCTCTCTGCTTCAGTGTCATCTTCAGTATAGGAGGTTAATATCACATAAGGCATGCCTACATCTCATACATTTTTGACCTCCCTTCCTGTAGTTTCCCTCTCAAGTAATTTTTTTTCTCACTTATCTTTTTTATAGTAACTGAAAGCATAGTCTTGGAGTCAGAAAATTGGGCTTTGTATTTAAGTTACATAACTTATGACTAACCTTATGACCCTAGCAAAGAAACAACTCTGAATTAGTTTTCTCTTCTGCAAAACGAAGAAAACAGGGGCAAGTACTCAATACTGCCTACTTAACATCTTCCTGTCGGCCCAAGCTCAAGTTCCACCACCATGCTGCATTTTAAGTGTCCTTCTGCTCTCATCTCCCCTTACATGCTACCGTATGGCTGTAAGTCAGCTTCCAGCATTTTCCACAGACTTGCCTCCCAATCAAGCTGCAACCTCCCCATGAGGTGCTGGATCTATCCTTCAGACTCTCAATCAAACTTGATAAGTAATCGCAGAAACCCACAACCCACCTCCACTCCAAGTAAGCTAAGCTTTGAACGCAACATACAAACGACACGTTCTGGAGGTCCTTGGTCTTGGCCTTTGTTAAAGCCTCCGCGGCCACCCCCTCGTCCAAATCCTCCTCTGCCGCCGCCTCTGAAATTGCCTCCGCCTCCCCCTCGGAAGTGGTTGTTGCTGCCGCCGCCACGGTTGAAGCCACCACCTCCACCGCCTCGATTAAAGCTTCCACGTCCTCCGCCTCGAAAAGACATTCTGTCTCCTACCTGGTGAGAAAACGGCGGTCTCTGCTGATCACTGTAGCCTCCTGGGTACACCCCTAACCCCTCGGAAAAAAGAACAGCAGCCTCGCCGCTCACCCACTGCTGGAGCGCCAGTGCTGAGCCTGAGAAGTGAGCAGTGCTACTTCCCCACCGCCTTGGGAGGGCCGACCCGACCCCACGCCAGCCTCGCCACCCCTGGGTTGGTAACTCCTCCCCCAGCAGACAGCAAGGTCTTCACGCCGCACTCTCGTCCTCCCTCTCACAGCTGGGCTCCACAGCCAGCATTTTCAGATCCTCCGGCTTCCACTGCCACTCACCGGAGCCACGTGCACCTCCCGCCGGGGTTGCGCGCTCACACCCACCCGCGGGGCACTTCCGCCGCACTCGAACCTTCTCGGCCACCGTACTGGCACAGAGTCTAAAAGACCAGAAACTCAAGCAACTAGTTTTTTGGTTTTTACAAAAAGCGCCGGAAAAGCAGCAATAACGCCTTTAACTACTCGTTCACAACTTGCCCAGCCATGAAAAGCGGAAATGACATACAATTCGGCGCCCTTTCCTCGTGACGTCACCGGAAATGCGGCTGCGCGATTGCCGGGCATTACGAATCCGTCCCCTTCTCTAGAGGCGGGGCAGGTTACTGTTTGGGGTGATTCCTCTTGCTGTCGGCGCAGCTCTTGTTTTTCCGGCTGCGAAATGGCCTTCAACCTTGCTCCTCAGTTGGTGGCTAGCTCCAGCCACTACGCAGCTGCAGCTCTGAGGAGTTCTGACCCCCGCTCTGCGCAGAGGTGGATCTGGCCGCTTCAGAACCTGTCGCAGGCAGGCTAAGCGTGTGTCCGCGTTCTTTCCTACCTTCTGAACTACGCACCGTGGTGGGCTGACCTGTGCCTGTCCTTGTGTCCAGTGATCTCACCAGTTACAGGAAGAAAAGCCATGCGTGGGGCGGGTACTTTAGAAGAAACCGTGTTATCTGATGAAAGCCAGACCATCTTCTGTACCAGATCTTCATTCGCCAGCTGCGTTTTGAGAACCTAAGGCTGTGACCATCTCTGCCGGAAGCGCCTCTGCACTAACATAAGCTTCCTCCGCATCCTCCAACACCGATCTTACAAATAAGGAGCAGCTTCATTTATTACATGTGGTTGGTTTCGTTTACACCCAAAATCTCTTGAGACCTCAGCTTGATATCTCACACGGTCTACCGCCTCTTCTTTAAAAAGACCAGAATTCAGTGCCTATTTCTGAGTTATGGTAAATGGGATTTTAAAATACGCAACTACGGAAATATCAGGAGTTACAGGGTGTCTTCTGCACTAAAGTATAAGCTTCTTGAGGGAGCACCTCATGGTCCTACATGTAAAAGGAATTTGATAAATGTATTTTAAATTCAGGTTAAATGTATTCTATATATTTATAGGGGTAGAATTAAGTTCCATGTTTCTATCTCCGTTTGGTGTCCCACTGTTATCTCCTCCTCGGTATGATAAAACCTTTGAACTTTATTGGACCTTCAAGATCACGTGGTACCTAACCTCAATTTTAAAGTAAGGAACTGACGTTTAGAGTAGTGAAGTAACTTACCCATCTAGCTAGAAGGACAAACTAGAATCCCCATCCCGGTTTCTCTACCCATTTTATTTTCTGTGAACTGGTAGCTAACTGATAGTGAGATCTGGAGACTTGATTATGTTCAGGTTCAATATTATTTTTATTTTTTCAAGAATGCTTCCTATAGCATCTCACAAGAAGGCACATAATGTCTGGTTGTCTCTCTTTTGGGATAAGGTCAATCAGTGGAATTAGTGTTATCAGCCTGATCCATCTATTAGAGAGTGGCCTGAAACCACCTAAAAACTAATGGTTTTAGAAGTTGTCAATGTTCATTGCCTTAGATCCATTGATTCATAAGGTAGTGCAAAATGGTGATGTGCTGCTTCTATCATTCCTTTCACAATTACTAAGTGAAATAAAGGACTTTCCTTTTTTATTTTAATTATTTGCTGTCGTTATTCTTTATAATGTTTAAAATATTTTATCTTGGGCTTGTGGGAGTCCCTTCCAGTCTCTTAATATCATTCACTAGCTTCTGATGGCTTTCTTGCTTTCTGGCACAGAGTGTCTCTAACTTATCTTGTGCATTTCACACCCCGGACGTGGAATCAGCCTTTTCTCCAAGGAGCCTTAGACTTTTCAGTGGAAAATAGTATATAAAGAAGAAAATCTAGCACTAAGGGGTACTCATTGCCTCTGATTTGTTATGACTTCTAGGCCTTATCATTGGTACTAGAAGGTACTTATTTTTAGAAACAAAAATAATTGTGGTTCATAGTGATATTTCCAATTCAAAGTTAAGACTATAAGGTTTCTGTTTCTTTGAATTTAAACTTGTGTCTCTCTTTCTGAAATTCTTATGACATTAGCATAATTAGTTACTTCAGCATGCATATATAGTTGTCAAGTATTAATATTATTAACAGTTAAACTACTGAATACTATTTAATATTTTGTTTCTATCAGTTTACTAATATTTTGTTTAGAATTTTTGCATCTTTTACTTGTATTAATTTACTAGTATCTTGTTTAGAATTTTTACATCTATGTTCATAAATGAGGTGGGTCTTTTTGTTGTGCTGTGTGTTCTGATTTTGTAGATTCTGATTACAGAGCTCTGCCTGAAGTGACTGTGCAGAAGAAGGGTGGGATGTGAGATATCTTGGGGATTTGTCTGTCACTTGCCTCTTAAGTGCAGAGACGCCCTTAACCAAGAGGAGGTTTGTGTCATCTAGAATGTTTCTCTGCTTCCACCTCACTGTCTACTCCAGGAATACTGGGTTAGAACATGCACTACAGAGAGCCTTATTGGAGACTTTATCCTGGAACAGATGCTCAAGTTGTCCCAGTGTGGGATCCTGGCTCAACTATTCTGCCCTTTATTTAATTAATGACCTAGTCTATTACTTCTCTCAGATTCTACTGTTTCTATTTTGTGGTCTCCCTTATTCTGGATAAATTGTTTTCACCTGTATGAATTTGACATTTCCTAAAGACCTTTAAGTTTCACAATCTTTTCCTTTCTACTATATATATTCCAGTAATTCTTCACTGTTTGTGTCCTGTGGATGAAACCCTTCAATGGTACAATAGAATTATTCATATTTTTATTTTCACTGAGATTTTATGAGGGAAGAGACATAAACTACATGAAATGTCAGTCATCATGAGCCATCTATTACATTTTCTTTGTGTTAATTGATGACAAATAAAGTCATTTCTTATGTTAATTTTGTGTCTAGCCACCTTAATTAACTTTAGGTCTAATAATTTTTTCGTTAATTTTCTTGTCTATGTAGATAATCATTTTATCTGCAAATAATGAACATTTTTTCTCTTCAGTATTTATAATTTTTTCATGTTTACTGCATTGACTACAGTCTCCAGAACAATATTAAAATATAACATTCTTGACTTGGTTCAGACTCTGATAGGTTTGCCTTTAGTATTTCACCATGATATATGTTATTTACTGTAGGGTTCTACCCTTCATCAGGTTAATGATGTTTGTTCTCTTCCTAGCTTACCCATCTTTGAAAACTTAAGAATAGGTGTTAAACATATGAAATATTTTTCTATATCCAGTGGGACAATTTTACAAAATTTTAAATTTAATCTATTTTTTGTTTTTTTATTTTATTTTTTATTATTATTATAAAGATGTGGGGTACAATTCAGGGTTAGGTATACAAATGTTGATTATGCAGTAATCTATTGTTTTAATCAAAGATTTTGATATACTGAATTACATTAATAGATAGCCTAATGTTGAACATCCTTGTATTTCTAGAATAATTCCTATCTGGTCATTATACCTTACTCTTTTAATATAGCAATATCTATGGTTTGTTAATATTAACCCTTGCGTATATATAAATAGGTGAGATTAGTTTATAGATTTTTTTTCTGAGACTCGTAGTTTATCTTAAGAGTATCAGTATTGCTAATACATTGGAGAACTTCCCATCTTTTTCTGTATTCTGGAAATGTTGAAATAACAGAGAAATGATTTTAAAAGATTTTGTAAAACCTAGTTGGTGTCTTTGAGGGGGTTAAAGATCTTAACTTTTTTTTATCTCCTCTTACTTTTTAGTTTAAGTTTTCTTTTTCTTCCTGGGTAAATTCTGATAATTTAATTTTTCTTGGAATTTTCATCCAGATCTCCAGATTTATTTAATAACCTGCATATCATTTTATCACTTATGGTTCTAGATGACAAGCCACCAAAGCAACTCTGGCCAAAAATATTTTAGTAAAATAAAGTTCAAATAGAAGATAATAGAATGTTCACAGAATTGACAGTAGACTGAGAAACTAGGATTAAGAACTAAGGATACTCAAAAAGGTCAAGAAAGAGTCTCAGAAAGTTTGCTACTGCTGCTGTGACAAATAATTCCCAATTCTTTTTTATGTTCAGTCGCTTAACACTGAAGACAAAAACCAGAGAGAGAGAGAAACAGGCTGATTAGTCCCACAATGAAGAAAGGTAATTCCCCAAATAAAATTGGGAGCCTATTGTAAATAAAAAATAGATGTTGGCAGCTCCATACAAGTATCTAATAGCATTTGAGAATCAAGAATAAGAAGGCCTGGGATAGAAACGTGTATATACATGTAGGAGTTGGAATGAAGTATGAAAATATTTGGATCACATATTAATGATTTTTTTAAATGACTCGTTTTATTTATCATGTCTAGACTTTTTGCTTTCTGGTTTATTTATTTGCTTATGTCTGTATTATCTCCTACATTACAGCCACACTGAGAAGTGGTTTTGAAAGAGGTTGGTGAGAGAAAGCCCTCCCAACAGGCAGATCTTCGGGTGATATACCTGGTCATCCACTTTGTGTGGAGAGGAGGCCCCAGGTTAGACTCTACGTGAAATCCCAAGCAATAATAATTGCTTGACCATCTTTTATTTCTTGAAACAAAAACTATTTGAGAATCAAGAATAAGAAGGTCTGGGATAGAAACGTGTATATACATATAGGAGTTGGAATGAAGTATGAAAATATTTGGATCACATATTAATGTCCACTAGAGAGCATCCTCCAGAGAAAAGGTAACTAGCAAAATGACTCAGCGGAAATGATTGCATTTCAGTAATCAGCCACTCCAGTGCTGGCACGATGGGCACAAGAATGAAATGACAATTATTATAACACTGTAAGAAAGGGATTGGCAGTAGTGGGAAACTGCCAGGGGAGGGAGTGGGGGCCGGGGGAGAGGAAGGGCCACACTTCATCAATAAGGGTACCTGATCTCAAACCAGGTGACGTGGGGACCAAAGTGAGTCCAAAACTTTATCTGTACAATGACCATTTGTATACCTTACCCTGAATTGTATCCCACATCTTTAAAATAAAAATTAAAAAAGAAAAAAAAGAATGAAATAACCATGGTGGCTGAGATTAGGCTACCCATGAGACCAAGAGCAGGGACTCCAAGATTCATCTAGCTATTGCCATCAGCAAGTGCCCAACCTGACAGCAACAGAGACTAGCACTGTGCCCACAAGATGGCACAATTCATTAAAGAGACCAAATAGTCATTTGCCAAATTGCCTACATCTGGTCCCTTCAATCTTTGAAGGTCCAGTGGTACTTTCTCACAGAAAGCCAGACATATATTTGAGGTATGGGTGTGCCTTTTCTGCCTGCCAGGTTTCAATTAGCACCATGAACCAGAGGATCACGGAATACCCAATCCTCCAGCAGGGGATGCTATATCACATCCTGCCAGACAAGAGTACCCACTTTATAGCAAAGGAGATGCAGGAGTGGACCTATGACCATTCAATCCCCAGATCATATCACATACCATACTACCCAGCAGCTGGTGACCTGATAGAACATTGAAGTGGGTGCTGTGGCTGGATGTGATGGCTCACACCTGTAATCCCAGCACTCCGGGAAGCCAAGGCAGGAGGATCACTTGAGAGTTCAAGTCCCATCTCTACAAAAAAAAAAGAAAAAGTGGGTGCCGAATGTACGAAAAAGAAAAAGTGGATGCAGATTTGAGGTGCTAGTTACAGGCAATACTCTATGAGAATGAGGAACTATCCTCCAGAAAGCAGTCAGTATGTGCATTGAATCAAAGATCTTCATATAGATTTGTATTCCCAGGAATACATGGACCTGGGAACCAAGAGACAGGCAGAAGCAACCATGCTTCCCATCACTACCATTGACCAACTGGGGATTTTGTGAGTCCTGTCCCTCTAGATTCTGCAGAGATGGTGATCTTGATCCCAAAAGGGCTATACTTTCACCAGGGACACAACAAGAATCCCACAGAATTATAAGCTAGGGCTGCTGCCTGGTGAACATTGACCTCTTTGTGTCTAGGGACCAACAGGAAAGAGTTACAATTTCAATGGGGGTAATTGACCCTGATCATTTATAAGTAGTGCTGTTATTACAGTGTGGGCAGAAATTAATATATGGGAAAACCTCATGACTTTCTGAGGTGCCTCTTGTGACAGTAAAGGGATAGAAATTGCAACATTGGTCTAAAAAGTCAATGATAACCAGGAAGTCAGACCATTCCTGGAAGAGATCGTGGCTCCTGCCATCAGGTAAGACACTGAGGACAGCATAGGTGTAGGTCAGGGAAAGGGAATCTAGAATGGATAGGAAGGAGCAGGAAGTGAATATCAACTAAGGCCCCAGGATCAACTACAAAGGCAGGGGCTGTGGTTTTCACCACTAACTCCCTCTTCTTAGTTTTCTCTCCAAAAGAGGCAACATTGGATATGGTGGCTCATGCCTGTAATCTCAGCACTTTGGGAGGCTAAGGCAGAAGGACTGCTTGAGCCCAGGAGTTCAAGACCAGCCTGGGCAACATAGCAAGACCTCGTCTCTAAAAAGAATCAAAAAATTAGCCAGGTGAGATGGTGCACACTTGTAGTCCCAGCACCTCAGGATGCTAAGGTGGAATGCTCTCAAGGCTGCCACTGCACACCAGCCTGGGTAACGGAATGAGATACCAACTCAAAAAAAAAGGGGGGGGGGGGAACTGGAATGTCAAAGGAATATCCTTGGAGTATATACGGAAGGTACAAAAAAGTGCAAGTAATGAACACTGAAAGATACAGAGACATATTTCCCAGGTTTCCCATCAAGGAAGGCCTTGCTACCTGGTTGTGAAGAGTATGATAAGAACATACCTCCTTTTGACAGCAAATAATTGTCAGGTCCTTCTGTGTCTGTCTCAGCTACAGAAAACTGCCTGGTCTAAGGATGTGCCCTTCCTGGGCAGCCCATATCAGGTGACTGAACAAGACATAATGGCCCAGCCATTTCTGCTGGACCCAGGGACACTGTGACAGGTCACCCTCACTCCAGAACTTCCTCATGGCAAGCCAAGGATTTTGGAAGCAGCATCACAGTTCAACCTCTCCTACTGCTCCCCCCTCTTCCTTTCATGGATGTTGATCCCTAATAAACACCTTGCACCCCAAACTCTGTCTCAAGTCTGCATCTATAGAACCCAAACTTCATCAGCATTTCTGCTGTCACAAATTTATGTCAAAAATACAAATGAATCCCACACTCTAGTTGGCACTGGAGCAAGAATACCTGTTTCAAAAAGTTTTCTGAGCTCAGAAAATATAATTTAATTGCAGCACAACCAATGTATGGTAAAGGAGATGGTTTTTTATTTTATAATGTATCCAGCATTGCCCTCACAATAAAGTACTTTCATTCTTACTGTCTCCTAGTCATCAAACTTAAGGAAAAAATAATTTTCTTTTACAAAAGGAAAAAATCATAAGGAATTTGCTTCTAATATAACATCTATTTTCCCTGGAAAACAGAATTGAGGCATTGTTTATTAACAGGGTCAGGAAATCAATCTTTTCTGGAGGAAACGTGGTTCCTATTGGCCACCTCTTTCAGTTATTTACTGGGAAGTGCACTTTTCAGTTCTAGTTACGGTAAAGCTCTGGATTTTAGCCAAATTCTTTAAGAGTTCAAGAGTACAAAGCTCTTTAGGAGGCTTGCTCTTTTGAAATATTTTTTCAGAGGTTAAAAATTAAAATCTCAAAAGAATATCAAGTGTGGGAAAGTATTCTCGGCAGAGGCACAGATCCCAAACACCTCGAACATGAAGCATACTCATGTTTTTCTGTTACTTTTGTGCTTCTACTTAAGTTTCTGCAAGGTAAGTCATTCAATCTTACTCATAAAACCAATCAATCTCATGAAATAGCGTATGTAAACTATTTCAATCAGATATTTTGACGATCATAAAAGTATAGGAAATAATATGAAACAAGTAATTTTGACTTAAACATTAATAATCCAGTTACTAACAATGCTACTATATAGTCAATAACAAATATCTTGTTAATAACGATATAAAAGTTTTAAGAAAATAGTTCATTTTATATGCATATGTGTGCATAGACATCGAAAGGAACAAGAATTTTAGTAATACAAGATGGTAGTTTATGTAATCATATTAAATCAATAAACATTTCCCAAGTCTTTCTGTGTGGAAGGTAAAGCTCTAGGAAGATAGTAGAACTGTTCTCTTCCATCAATTGCCTTTTAATACCCTGTAGAGCCGTGGAAAGGGGATGTTAATATGCCAACAGGGAAATAAGTGTGATTCAAATAACATCCGAAAATGCAAAAAAGGGGTATGTTACAAGACAGAGTACCTTTAATTACCAAAAATGATACAAATATGGCAAAGAGGACACAGGAGAGGACAGATCACTTCATGCTGAGAAGTCAGGAAGAGATTGTGTAATCCAGTAGGATTTGAGCTGGACCTGTAATTCTGGATTATATTTGATCAGTGGTGACAGAGAGGAATGAATGCCTTTCAGTTTTTCCAGCCAGGAACAGCAGCAAGTGTGACCCTAGGAAGGCAGCAAGGCACCAGGCTCCTCCACATAAATAGATCTGTTTGATCACATTGAAGACTTGTGAACTACTAAGGAAGTTAAATGGAAATGATACGTTGCAGTGAAGTTAGAGTGTTGTCTATTAAGGCTAAAAATGTTTAAAATACTTTAGATATATACTGATGAGCACCAACTTCGGTGGTCATAGTGCTTTGAGATGAGATTCCAAAAACTATTTTGTTAATGCCAGCTTGTAGAAGAAAATACTTAAATAAAACTACTTGAGAAATCATAATTATGTACTTTAAGTTTCTTATAACTTTTTTTTTGACTCAGCGACCCACTTTGTTGCCCAGGCTGAAGTGCAGTGGCGTGATCAGGGTTCACTGCAACCCCGACCTCCTGGGCTCAGGCAATCCTTCCAACTCAGCCTCTCCAGTAGCTGGGACTACAGGCACACACCACCACACCCAGCTTATTTTTTAACTTTCTGTAACAATGAGATCTCACTATGTAACCCAGGCTGGTTTTGAACTCCTAGACTCAAGCGATCCTCTGTCCTCGGCCTCCCAAAGTACTGGGATTGCAAGCATGAGCCACTGCACCCTGCTGTAACTTCTAAACTATATATCATCATTGTGATGTTTATAATAAAGAGCACATGAAAACAAACTGAATGCTCATTAGTAAGAAACTGATTAAATTATTGTTCATCCATAAATGAACATAATGTTATGTTCAATCTTACTTTTGCTAAATTAAAAAAGATATACACATATGTATCTACCTGTGTGTATATGCACGTACACATAAATGCATACTTACATCTCCTTATACTTATGACAATTAAAAAGATCTTGCAAAGTATGTATCAAATAGTTAACAGTTGCTCTCACTGGGTAATAAGATTACTTGTGATTCTATATAGTATTTTATGTGTTTCTGAATTTCAGCATATAGAAATTTTATTTTTTCTTATTAAACTAAATGTGTATTACTTTATAATTAGAAAAAATATTTTTTGAAAATACAAAATATTTCAGCTACTTTTTTTCTATTCCTGAAACAAAAAGAATTTTTTAAAAATAAATATAATACCATCCACTTAGAAAAAGGAAAAGAGCCTCTTTCTTTTATTGGACAGTCTTCCAGTAATAAGGTTGTCTTCAGTTCTTTAAGAAACAGCATTTTGTGTGTGTGTGTGTGTTGGAGTCTCACTCTGTCACCCAGACTGGAGTGCAGTGGCCGCTCCCGGCCACTGCAGCCTCAACCTGCTGGGCTCTGGTGATCCTTCCGCCTCAGCCTTCCAAGTAGCTGGAACTACAGGCGCACGCTACCACACCCGGCTAATTTTTTTATTTATTGTAGAGATGAGGTCTCGTCAAGTTGCCCAGGTGGGTCTCGAATCCACGGGCTCAGGCAATCCACTCACCTCAGCCTCCCAAAGGCACGGAATTACAGGCTGAGCCACCGAGCCCGGCTAGGAAACAGCATTTTAAAAAAGGAAATTTGTGAACATTTTACAACTTCTTAAAATATTAGTTTATGAAAGAAAGTGGAATTTTAAAAATTGTACTTGCTGAGAAGTAACCATTTTTAAATGGAGCTTATCATAGAGACAATGTGAATGTGTTCATATAGTTTAAAAATATATCTAAGTTTTCAAAATGAAGCAAAATGTGAACAACTGTGAGACACTTTTGTTATTTTGAGAGCTGGAAGCAGATTTATTCCTAGGAGATAAAAATATCTTCTCCCATCCTTTTTTAAAGTCAAAACACCTTGGACGGATGTGGAGATAAATTATGTCAACAACTGGAATGGATGACAGTGACTGTGACTAGAATTAAGTTGCTCTGAATAGTGAAATAAGAAAAATAGTTTTACTGATCTTACTCAGACAAAGAAGGAAGGGGAGTCAAGAAAGGATGAAAGAAAAGCAGATGCACAGCACAGGAATGGCTACCAGGCTTTCTGAGTGGTAACGACCAAAGGACATTCAAGAGCAGGGCAGTTGGCCAGGTGCAGTGGCTCACTCCTGTAATCCCAGTGCTTGGAGGCCGAGGCAGGAGGACTACTTGATCCCAGGAGTTCAAGACCAACCTGGGCAACATAGCAAGACTTTGTATCTACAAAAAAAAAAATCAGAAAAAGTAGCCAGGCATCGTAGCACACACCTATAGTCCCAGCTACTGAGGTAGCTGGGAGGCTGAGGTAGAAGGATTACTTGAGCCCAGGAAGTTGAGGCTGCTGTGAGCTGTGATCATGCCACTATATTCCAGCCTGAGTGACACAGTGAGACTCCAACTCAAAAACAAACAAAAAAGAAAAGGGAAGCCAAATGTTTTAGACAACAGAATTGACTTCTGTAATAGTGCCTTGCTGTGATGTAATCCCCAACTGATACCCTAGATTTTATTTTACCCTAAAACATGTATTGTAAACTCAGGCTTATATGGGTGGCATTTTGGAGAGGAAGAACTAGGATAATGTTCAGGAGGACGACAGTATTCTGGAAAAGGAGAGTGTACAGAAGTGGGAAGGTGCAATACAGAGAGTGATGTCAGTGGAAATGGCAGAGCAGGCAAATTCGAGCACCCATTTCTCTGCAAAACCAAGCAGAAACTGTCAGACCACGTTTTCACAACTCTAGAATACTCTAGAGTAGTCAAAGGTTTACAGCACCAAGCAAACATTTAATGAAAGAACAGGCCATTTTAAAATGGTAGGAAAGCTTTGTGACATTTCTACTTGTCCTTCCCCCCACACCTTTCTGGTTTGGTGGCCCAGGTCTTGAAGGATGGCAGTGCATGTTGCCAGTGAGGGGCCCTAGTCCCTAGCACTGGAAAGAACAGAGAAGACCCTATTCAAAAAGAATCGTGTTTGCCTTTTCTTACCTCTCTGGGAGGCTACCTGAAGGACAGATCCAAGGCACTTGTTTTGGTTTCATCTAACTCGGAACTCAGACCAGAAAAGCAGCAGGCATTCCTCAAAGGCATTGTAAGATGAATGAGCAATCTCAACTGTCTGGAGCAAAAGATTACATGGAGGTCTACAAAAAAGCACCAAAGCATGGGGGAAACAGAGTGCCTATCAGAAACTGGGGCAGTCAGAAGCACCTGTGTATATTGGAGAGTTTAGGAAGTCATACATGTGCTCAGGGCAGAACCTATGCTCAGAAAAAGCTGAGAAGACCCAAGCATGCACCTCTGGCTGATGTCTAGGTTCAGTGCAAGCATGAAGTGAAATCCAAGGTAGAGTTCCAAGTGGTCTGGATAAGTGCCTAGGAGAAGACCAAAGATGGAGAGGTTTGGTTTTGTTTGGATTCTCTCTCTGTGTGTCTCTCCCTACCCACCCCCTTTCTGGCTTTCTGCCTCTTTTTCTTTCTTCCTCTCTCTTCTTGCATTCAAGGAAAGCTCTGTCTAAACACTAGCTGAACAGAAGTCAAAGGAGCAAAGACTTCAGAGAGTACATGTGATAAAGAACAGACTTTCCAAAAATAGTTTAGAAAAGTACCAAACAAATAGCTATAGTCTACAGCAAGCAACAAAAACAAACTCTGAGCAGAGGAGAAAATCTGATTTCAAGAATAATTACATTATAATACTCAAAATGTCAGTTTTCAACAAAACATTGTGAAGCATGCAAAGATATGAAAAAGTATGGCCCATTCACAAAAGAAATGAACAGAAACTGTCTCTGAAGAAGTACAAATGTTGTACTAACTAGACAGACTTAATCAACTATCTTTAAGAAAAAAAAACACACTTCATTTAGTTATGATTGACATGTATAAGTTGTACTATGTAATGTGTTTAATTTGATGAGTTTAGAGATAAGTATATACCTTTGAAAATATCACAACAATCTATGCTATAAAATATTCATCACCTGCAAAACATTATGCACCAAATAATAGAGTCTCAAAAGATATAAGCCAAACATTGATAGAATAGAAGGGAGAAATAGAGAATTCTACAACAATATTTGGAGGCTACAATTACCCTACTTTCAGTAATGGATAAAAGATCAGTAAGTAACTCAGAACTTGAACAGCACCATTAGCCAACTGGACCTAATAACTAGACATAAATAGAACATTCCACTCAATAATAGCAGAATATACATTTTTCTCGAGAGCATGTGGAACAGTCTCTAGAATAGATCATATGTTAAGTTACAAAACAAGACTCAATAAATTTGAAAATATTGAAATTTGAAAAGTATCTTTACTAACCACAGTGGAATAAGACTAGAAACCAATAATAGAAGGAGTGCTGGAAAATTCACAAAGATGTGCAAATTATAC